TGCTCCGTGCTCATTTATCACCGCCTCATGAGGCGAGTGATAGCCCTGACCAGGCAGCACAGTATCACATTTTCGGTCTTTTTTTTGGGTCTTCATGTCTCTGGCCAGGCACTCAGATAATTGCAGAATGAAGAAGTTACATTTATGTCAGGGTAGAAAACAACTTTTTTTTTCTAAGCGAGATGTTTCGCTCTTGGAACTTACAATGAAGTAAAGGTAGAAAAGTCTGCCATTTAAAAAGAAGGTATTTAGGGCCGCTTTCATTTCTCATTTCAGGGGCACTTATGAAAGTAGAAAGGGACTGCTTTTATGAACGAGATATGTCGCCCTTGGCACTCAAAAAGTGTTGGGTAGCTCAAAACAGAGGCAATTAGCACTTATTATTTTAGTGATACTGTGACATAACTACGGCAATGAGAGCAGAAATTAAATGTTTTTACTAACGAGATCTCTCGCTCGTAGCACGCAAGGGAGCGGAGTCCTTGAGAAGCCGACAGTTGCTTATTCACTAGAGAAATTCACAGCATATGCTGGAATCAGAAGGCTCATTACCGTATTGACAAAAGCCCGGTATTGGCCCCTATCCTGAGCCAGATAAATCTAGTTCACAGAATCAAACTCCTATATAATTTAAATTTTAACGTAATCTTTCATTTGGACCAGATTTTCCTACTAGTCTCTTTCCACTCTATATACATGCGTGTTTCTGGTGCTTCCCATTCCATCCTCCTTGACCTTATCGTTCGATTCATATAGTCTGCTACATGTCCTGTCCATCTCGTCCACCTGGACTTGATCACTGTAATAATATAGATGCTACATGCATGTTATGTACGCTGTCCATCTCCCGTATTCGATCATTCTAATATTTCGTATGCGTGCTACATGTCCGGTCATACTCATCCATTTTAACTTAATCTTTCTAATAATATGTCCGTGTTTGATCGCATTACATGTGCGCTACGTGCTCTGCCCATCTCATTTTCCTGGACTTGGCCATTCTAATAATGCGTGCCACATGCCCTGCTCATCCAATCCTCCCTGATTTGATTATTCTGATGATATTTGGCGAGGGCGCTCTTAGCCCTGCAGTGTTAATATTGTCACGCATCGGGGTTGTCGTGACTAATAATAATGGGTTTTTGATTTGACGACTGGGTTTATTGGCACTAATTTACAATTACAGTTCATTATAACAGCTGACACATTGAAGTTCCTTCCTAATGGCGTCTGTCTGAGGAATGCTGTAAGACTAAACTCTGCTGTTCTCTACTACTCGAATTTATTAATTCACTGCCTTTTATAACTGCCACTACTTCTCTTCATGAATGTGTTGTCCCTGAAACGTGCATGAACGGTTGCCTAGCAAAACAGATAATTCCTTGTCCAACTTCACTATCCCTGTTATTTGGCCACGTTAACCGAACGTTGCTCGGCAGTGGACTATTCCAGCTTGTCCCTGAAACGTATTTTAACAAGCCGTTGTTTAGCAATGGATTATCTCGTCATAATATGTTCTACGTATTACGACGTCAACTTCTGGGACATCCCTTACAGACGAGCAGATCACAGCGACGGAGTGTCTTGTGAAAGAGGCAGGGGAAAACGATTTTATGAGACTCAATTCTGTAATGTTAGTGTACTTCACTTATCAAGTCGCCATCATTGTGCAAGATCCGGCTGTTAGGGCTTAAGGAACGCGGTACACAGTTGCCCATTACAGATTTGAGATAATATCGCACGGTAGGTGAATACGGCGAAGTGTTTGGGGACACCTGCAGTCTCGGCAGAAGCAGCGAGTTGGGAAAATGTTGCTTACTGTTCATTTTACTTAACGTCCTCAGATGTGAACATATTTCATGTGGGATAGCAGCGAGTTTGTCTGGCTTTCTGCGATTCTAAGATTAGGGTATATTAGCTCAAGCAAGGAAGAATCATCCCTCGAAAAATGGAAATATTGTTCCGTAGAAAATCACCCAATTTCCTCTCAAAAACGCTTAAAATACCAATACACAAAAGCTACGTCATTGGGAACTTTACAGATATGAATCCAATGCAGAACCGTAGTTTCGAAAGTCTAAGAAAGTGCGAAGTAGAATAATTAGATATTTATACTTATAAATCAGTCGGTATAGCGACGGATTGCAGGCTGGACGGCCTGTGTTCGATTCCTGGCAGGGGCAAGAGATTTTTCTCTACGTCGTAGCGTCCGGACCGTCTCTGAGGCACACAGCCCCCTGTCAGATGGGTAACGGCGGGGCTCTTTGCCCCGCTGGTAATTCGAGAACACCGTGATAGTGATCTCTCACCTCCATCTAGCGCGAGTTCAAGAATGGTGGAGCTATACCTCCACTCCATTATACTCCCAGGGACAACTTTTACCTTTACCTTTTTTCATACGGAAATCCTAAAGGCAAGAGACTATTTGATAGACCTGGACGTAGATATGTTAACATTGAATGAAACTTAAGGAAGTAAGGTATGAGGTTAAGGACTGGATTTGTGTGGCTCAAGAAAAATGGTTATTGGCGGGATGTCGAGGACACACCGCTACGAAAATTTGGATCCCATAGAAGGCGGTAGATTTCTTGAGCAGCTGAGCGACGATTAGCTTCTGAGGAAAAGCTGTGATATGTGGAATTAGTGATTTGCAACTGGTTAGAAATGCAAGCGAACTCCTTCTGAAATATGAAACTGACAGCTTTAAATAATCCATAGATAAATATTGGTAATTGTACTAGTGCCAGCAGTGATAGCTTTTTTTTTTTAGTTTCTTGGGGTGGGGGTGAGACTGAATCCACTTGGTACGTCGGCCACTATTTGGCCTATTGTACCGGCCTTCAATGATATATGATGCGTGTGGGGAAGTCGGTGGAATGAAATTTGGCAGGAGAAACCGTAGTACTCTGAGAGAACCTACCCCGATGCTACTTCATCCACCACAAATCCCACACGACCTTACGGTAGGCCGCACACCGACATGAGTCAAGACATGTAACAGCCAAGACACGATGTCTGCGACATGACGCAAAAAGCGAGCACAGTTGAAACGAATGAGATTATGAAAACCGCCGCACACCAATCTGAGTCATAATGCTGACGTCAGCTTCATGTTGAATCACGAATGAAGCAAGACCGACTCTTTTGTCCATGTCTTGATGCTTGTCTTGACGTAGTTGGTGTGTGGCCTCCCTGCCTGGGCTCGAACCCGGCGACCAGTCGCCTCAGCTGAGGTAGTGGCTAACAGACATTGTGTGTACAGCGGCCTGGCGGTTTGAAACCATCGCGTGTGTGGCCTCCACTTTCAGCCCGGAGTATAGGCATCTCGCTGAACACGCGCGGCATGCTGGAAGCAAGACCCGAGGATACTTGTGCTGTTACACGTATCACCACTTCGCATCGCTCAATCTCCTCTACAAGTCTTTGGTGTGTCAGAGCCCGTTCAAATTATCTGAAAGCAAGTTCCCTTACTGAAAGGAGCTTACGTAGAAGGAAAGGGGGAAATCCCATAAGTTAGGTTCTTAACCATGGAAGAAGCTCTTATTTTTATCGACATTAATTTTCTTTCTGTTCCGGTAGCAGTTGTGCTTTGCGGGTTGCTTGGTCATTTGTACTGCTCGTCTTTCTAGACCTGGCCGCTCTCAACAGAGTGCGCAGTCGGATTGGTAGAGTCCAGTGAGATAGCTGAGATAGGAGTTATAGGATGTGTGTGAGTAGTAACAGAGTTGGGGTCAGTGCTTCACCCTCTCTCCCACCCATAGTAGAACTGCAACCACTTTACCGCTACTTAGTTCCAGGGACCGGGTATAGTACGGGGGAGAGTCAGTAAATATGTCACAAACGGAAGTACATGTAAAACAGCTGTAGTGGACTTAATAGTTTATCTGTGTGTATCACTACGTATCAGCACAATCCAGCTTCATGTTATTGTAGGTAGCAGACACGCATGCGCAATTTGAGAGGCTGGTTTCTGTAGTCAAAATGGCGTCCGTGCTTATCGAATGTACTACCGAAGAGCAGCGTTGTATTGTGCGTTATTTTGTGGACAAGAGGACTCATCGTGAAGGATATTCATAAAGAAATGTTTCCTGTATACGGTGGAAAGTGTTTGTCGCGTAAAGCGGTTGCACCTTGGTGGTAGACGTTGCGCTAATGACGAAAAGGTTGAAACGGAGGTGCGGAATTGGCTGAGACAGTGCTAAAATGTAAGGTATAATGCCATTTAATTAGGAGACTGCACCAAGTTTCGGAGAAATATATCACTTCCGTCTTCAGTGTCGATGAAACAAGCGGAATCGGACGGCTGTCTCCAAACTACACGGCGTTACAAACCACAGGATCCAAATCTTCACAGTCATTGCCGTTAGAACCTCAAATCCAGTTCCTATAAGCTTTCCAGGAAAAGTTTCCCTGATGGACTGGCCTCTGATATGTGTACATGATAGAGGGCCGTTTAATATTATCTTAGTCATGTCTATTTAACCTTGCTGTTGGCAACTGAGACTGCGTACCATTCAGTGATTTAGTGATATTGAAGAATGAATTGTAAAGGATGTGATAGGAAGCGGCCGTGGCTAATTTGAGGTACTATCCCAGTATTTACACAGGGGGACTGAGATGAACCGCGAAAACCTCTAGTTAGTCCTTGCCCCAGCCGAAATCCGAACCGTGTACCTCCAGAATACAAGACACGTGCGTCACCGCTGTAGGCATCTTCCTCGGTGAAATGTATTTTAACTGTGTTGAACATTGTATAACGTTACTACCTGATATAACATTTTTAAACATCTTGAGGATCAGTTGATGTATCTTAACCCATAAATTCACCCAAAGTACTGCCTTTGAACGTATTTCCCGTCCGTGTTAATCAGGAGGCCCCAGTGTGCGTGCCAGGCTGCCCCATTTGACGCCGTGTTGGTCCTGGAGGACGTTACGCTCTTGTTTTTGCTCCGTGGCGCTGGGCGTCCTGCCGGTTCTCTCTCAGTCGCGTCCGGGTCGGCGCTGTGATCACACGTACGACCGCTCTCCGTCAGTCAGTTGTTTGCGTTACTGTAGGGACATTACTCGCGTCCCAACTGGAAGACATGTGTGCTAGAACGCGTTACGATGCTAGTGTTTTGTCTTTGTAAAGGTTAGTTTGGAAGTATTAAGATTGTTCTGTGTAATATGTTATAGTTTATAGCGTTTGACTGTCATATTTCAGTTTACTTAATGAAGACAGTTCGATGTTCGTGAAATAGGTTAATATATACAACGAAAATGTTAGCGAGTTTAAATTCATAAGCCAACAGTTTGCACATTTGTTGAACTTATTCAGCGTATAATTGAGAGAAATAAAATTGAAGCACTTCTATTTTCGAAATTATATTTAAGAGACCCTTTTTTTTTTGTAATTAGGCGCCGTAGAAATCCAAGTTTTTTTATTTTGAGTTTCATGAGCGCTGTTCCAAATTACGTCACTTGGGACTTAACCATCAATCCCAGATGCCTACATTAGCTGGCTTTAGGTATAATGGTATTTCCAAAAATAATTATTGTTCTCATATGTTTCGCTTGTCCTCAGGCCTGATTTATTTTCCGAGGAATGTACAATTGTTAATATTTTAGGCGTATCTTCACCGGTACATCGTGATTGTTATTATAATTATTTTCGTTCTTATTTAAAAACATTTCAGGTTACTTAATGTTACCCCAAATTAGGCAGTTTCATATGGACCTTACGTCTTCGTTTGCGAAACTTGAAGTGTTAACAGAAATTTATGAGCGACCGAAGATTATCGTGTGATATTTTGGAGGTACGACCATAGATTGTTTTTATAACATTATTATAAATATTTATCTTGTAATATTTAATGACAGCCAAATTTTTCTTCTCTTCTGACCGTTTTGCTTCAGATGTGGACAACACGGTCTCACCACCTTGTCCTTCGTATGATGAGCTGTGTATATTTAGTGCCACACAAGTTTTGCTTAGTGTTCATATCAGTATAGTGCATTGGGCACATGAGGTGAATACTGTAACGTTTTTTACCAAATAAATTTCTATAACGCCCTAGACCTTTTTTCGGGAAATGCCTGGTTTGATTCTCGGCCGGGAAATCGGTTATCGTGTCTGAGATTTTCCCATGATTTTCTTCAGTCCTTCCAGGGAAGTGCCAGGATATTGATTAATCCACGACCGCTTCCTTTTAAATCCCTATTATATCATCATTCATTTTGTATATTGCCCTACAGGACGTAACACATCTTCCCTCCTTATAAAGCGGAACAATTAACGCAGTATACAGTACGATGTATACACTAGCAGCGTCGTTAAATAAACAAAAAAATCAATTTAACTTTTTAGTTTAGAATTTAATTATTTACATTAACCTATTTAACCCTCGTGTTAATATTTTCTGCGCATGTTTTGTTTGCTTTTTGTCCCAATGCAGCATTGGTTATATTTCAAGTAAAATGGGGTCTTTCGACAAATATTTTTCACCCCGAAAATAACTTGCCAGTGGTAGCGTAGCCGGCAGGTAGCGGGTTCGAGTCCCGATGAGGTTGATTTTTTTTCCAATTACCTAATCCTTTTAGTTGCGCTATGGCCCTGGGGTTGACTCAGCCTCTAACATAAATGAGTATCAGGAATCTTCCTGGGGGCAGGGGGGTAAAGAGCGGCCGATGCGTAAGGCTGACAACCGCACCGCCATCTGTGAGCCGATTATCTACAGAAAATATGGGAGCCTCGACGTCTCACAACACTATGGGCCTTAACGGGCTGTCACAGGGATAGTTTTACCTTTTCTTTTAGTACCTAAAACATTTTTTGAGGCGGCGTCGTCGTGAAGTAATGACGTAGATTGTTCAGCATTAAAAACTCCGTGGCCTGTAGTCCGCAAGCGTACTGTACCGACCGAGGGACCTCCGTTTGTCGGTGAAGTTAGTGCAAACATTTGCGGATAAAGGGTGTCTCGGTCAGCGCAGCGGATCCCCACGGCCGTTAATCTTGGTTTTCTAGACCGGTGTTTCAGCGTTACCAATATAAAATTACTGGATTCGATTTTCAACATGTACGAGCAAAGGGAACTGAAGCTGCTGTACAAGAAATGTCGTTTAAACGCGCGGGACGTTTCTTCCACAAGTTTTGCGCTCCAGGTAAGAAGCAAGCTTGAAGATTTAATAAAGTGTTAGTTAATGCAAATACATAGAAATGAGATACGAGAAAATCCCTTAGTTTCCCCTTGTACTGTACTGGATGAGAAAGTGTGTGATGTATGCGATAAAATTTCCATACGACAAGTGTCGATACTTGTATTCTGAAGCGAAAGAAAAACATGTTGCCCGTTAAACAGTGAGGAGCGCTCGCTGTACTTTGCCTTGTCAAGCCCAGCTGACTGAATTTGTTACTTTGAACAGATGAGCCCCTAGTGCCTTCGTTAATATTTATCTGCATAAACAGTGCTTCGCCTTTGTAAAATAAATTCGGAATAGAACAATGCAGGTTAAACTGACTTAACCTGATGTTAGCTCTTTCTATGGGACCCAACAGAGTATGTGTCTCTCACCGACAAACTTGATGATGGAAACAGGTCCAGTTTCCGAAACGTCGTGTTCCCTAGTTTCTAGAATACAGGACAATGGACGTAGTCCAAAGAACAATAGGTCTGAGTGTTATACACCATCGTTAGAACCCTTTAGAATATCACTTACTTAACCCTCTCATGGAGCTGAGCCTTTCTTGAGGAGAAGCCAATTCTGCAGCTACTCAAGAATTTCCCAGAAATTCGTGGAACCCGAAGGTTCATTACCGTGTTCACAAGAGCCCTCTACTGGCCCCTATCCTGAGCCATATCAATCCAATCCATATTATCCCGTCTTATCTCTAAGATCGATTTTGATGGATCTTAATGGATTTTAATGTCTATTGGGTCCAACTGAGTAGGTATTACCTGAGGACGGGGACAGAATGCAGTCTCCGAAACGTGATTTTTTAAAGGAAACAGGACGGTTTTTTAAGAACAGACGAGATGATGGATAATGTCCAACAACATATTAATTGTAGATCGAAACAACTTCGATTAAATTTCAGAAAATTATAGTCTTAATCTGTTTACATTAAACTGTGTTGTTGGAAATCTTCAGGAAAATTAAACGATACCCCCCTCAATTGCTGCGATCCCTGAAGCCTGCGCGAAGAGGTATGCGCAGTGTCCTTACAGCTGCTTCAGGTGGTGCCAAGCACTGACACTCCAACGCGTCGGGTATGCTACTAAGTGTAAACCGAGTCGTCGGTGTATCGAAGGCGTAAATCTCTTGATGGAAGTTTATTTTTCGTCTCGTCAGATTAATCTTAAATGACGGGGAAGCCGAGGCGGAGAGAGAGAACACATTGTCGCTGAGTCGTGGAGTTTGTTGTTTCTGAAACCAGCATGCCGCCATCACAGCGAGGTGACAGTTATATTGGGGGGGTAAGGGGGGAGACAGGGTTAGAACGTTCTCACTCTCGAATTTTGCATAATTTGTAATGTTGACAGATGGAAAATATTCCCTCTTGAACAAAATATAATTAATATACTTCCACACTTTAAAATTTTAGTATGGAAATGTTGTCTTTTGTGATTCACTTAAAGTTAAGGAGAAGTTGAATTAACAAGTTTGAAGAGATCTCCTTTAATAATTGCTGTTTAAATTAAGCTTTCACAAATTAGCTTTACAGTAAGCAGATTATAAGATCTGAGACGATATCGTTCTAAAGTTACGCGTCCGTTAGTGAATCTTTAGTATCGTGTACGGTGGGCGCTGGTGACGCACCGTCATTGTGCCTGGAAAATGAGCCATCACAGCGTGATCGTGAGGTAATATGAAGATTGCCTTCTGGGTTGTTGCGCCGTGCAGTCTAATAGACGGTAGAAACGTTTCGAAGCAACCTTTTGTCTATATCTTCCGGTGTACGACGCCGTGTAGTCTGCTAGAGGTACGAATAAGGGGAGGTTTTAGAAAACTGCATAATGAGCGGCTTTTGACGTGCATTCGTCGCGAAATATAATTAATCATGGAGTATGTGATGGGCAAGGAATTTAGTACGCATAGTAGAGAAGAAGAATATATACAAGGTTTTGGTGGGAAGGCCAGAAGGAAAGAGGTCACTAAGAGGACCTAGACGTAGATGGGAAGTAAATATTAAACCAGGTGTCAGAGAAACAGGATGAGGTAGCATGGACTGCATTGATCTGGCGCAGGTTATGGCTTTTGTACACAGGGTGATGAATATTCGGGTTCGTAAAATATTTCGAACTTCTTGAGTAGCTGAGCGACTACTTGCTCTTCAAGACTACTTAGTAAGGGGGCACGCGGTAGCTTAGTGGGTTGAGGAACTGTGCAACAAGCCGGAAGGTCGCGGTTCCATTCCCGATGAGGTCACTGGATTTTTTTTCAATTGACCTAATCCTTCCAGCCACACTATGGCCCCTGAGGTCGACTCACCCTCTAACAGAAATGAGTACCAGGAATATTCCGGGGGGGGGGGGTAAAGGGCGGTCAGCACGTAAGGCTGACAACCTTACCGCCACATGTGAACCGATTGTCTAGTAAATGTGGGAGCCTCGACGTCTCACAACCCTATGGGCCTTCACGGCCTGTTACAGCGATAGCTTGGTTCATAAGGCTGACAACCTTACCGCCACATGTGAACCGATTGTCTAGTAAATGTGGGAGCCTCGACGTCTCACAACCCTATGGGCCTCCACGGCCTGTTACAGGGATAGCTTGGCTCGTAAGGCTGACAACCTTACCGCCACATGTGAACCGATTGTCTAGTAAATGTGGGAGCCTCGACGTCTCAACCCTATGGTCCTTCACGGCCTGTTGCAGGAATAGCTTTACCTTTTACATATACCTTGGTTGGTAATTGGTAAGCGGGTTATTTTACGATAAGGCTGTAGTATCGGATTGTAGAATGAATGGTGAATGAGTAATTGTGATAGTTTTGGAATAAGTGATCTTTGCTTAATCGTGGAATTTTCTTGAAAGGACTGAGGAAAACCACGAAACGCCTCAGAATAGCCTCTGTCCTGGCCGATATTCGAACTCAACCCCTCCCAAATACCAATATGAGGCGGTACCGCCATGCCAGCCTGCCCGGTTTATTTACAGTTGTGTCATTTTAAATGTAATTAAATCGCGCCTTGTTATTTTGAAGACGCGGGTCTATTACATCCCCCCCCACAGCTCTTGACTGTTGTTACCAAAATATTATATTGGGGGGAGGGGGGGTAGGATTTCATGTTTTGAAACGTAACTGTTTTATTGCATATAGTGTAACAGCTCATGTTGTGTCGTCAGTGTTTTTGTTTTCCTCATCAGATGTATAATGTGTCTGGACGCACAAGATGAGCGAGTCGTGCAGAAGCAAATCTCGCCCTTACGATCGCTGGATGTTCGTTTGAAGAGCGTTAGCGCGCGTGTTTAACAAATGCAATCCATTTCCGGGGTTTCTATTCGTCTGACTCAGCATAGGTTTCTGTTACTGATGTTACGCATTGTAACTATGCTGTATAGTCCGCTAAAAGTGTACCGACGTTTCGGAAGAATAGCTGCCTACATCTTAAGGGCAAGCAGACCGCATGTTGCTTGCTCGTTTTCGGTAGATTGATAGTGTTTATCTTCTGAAATGAAGATGAAGACATTGTATGCGTCCGAAACGGCGGCAGACTGATGCATAGTTCCCCATCCCAGAAGATCGACCTCCTGAAAGCCTTCATGTTACATGAAATGTGAATAATTTCTCTTTACTTAATTAAGCATCACGATGTGAGGAATTATGGGAGAGTGGAGGTACATTGAAGTGAATGGTTGGCTTCACGCTTCGGCTGCTTTAATCCTCAGGAAGGAGCTATCCATCGGATAGGCTGGGAGGTCCGCACGGTTGGTTCTGAGGCTGTGGAAAAGAGAAAAATCAAACCTGACATGAGGCACCCAGATGAATGTTTTAACGATGTGGAATTATTGCGAAGGACACGCGTCGTTACGATTATCGGCAAATAAAATGATTGGGATGTCTGTCCTGTACAGTTATGAAGTTATACTTTTCCGGAATTTGAATATTCATACGGAATAATTGTTTTATGTTTTACAAAGTTAATAACATTGGGATATTTATTTCAGTATATTGGCAGCTTTGTCACTGCGTTATTACGTTTTTTAAAACTGCATCGCCCATGAAATATGACAGTTATGAGTAATCCCCTGTTCGAACTGGCAAATTATCACATTACGTACATGAACTGTTATACATTTGACGTTTAATCTTTTCAGTTTTTAATTTCGTATGCTGAAAGTAGGCCCTGTACAATCTGTCAGATATGAATTAGGCTGCGCCATAGTTCAAGCGGTTAGTCGCTGGCTTCCCACCGCGGCGGCCCGGGTTCGATTCCGGGTCTGGTCAAGTGGGATTTGTGGTGGACAAAGTGGTGCTGGGGCGGGTTTTCTCGGAGTACTTCGGTTTTCCCTGCAAATCTTCATTCCACCAAATTCTCCATCATCATAATCACCCGGGGCAGGCTACAATAGGCCAATCAGTGGCCGCCGTGCCGAATGGACCCAGTTGGACTCCACTCCCCACTAAGCGAATTAAAAAAAATAGATACAAATTGAGTACCAGCTAAATAACTAGCTCAGTACGTTAAGAGGCCGTCTTGAGAAGTTAATACCTACTGAGTTATTCAAGAAATTTATGGAACCGAATTTTCGTTAGCGTGTCCTGAATGTCTCATTACTGCTATCTGTTCTGGGTGGGTGTATCGAATCGCACTCCCTGCCATCTCAATTTATTTGCTTTGCATTTTAATACTGTCCTTATGGACCCACCTGCTTCACTTCTGCCCACTTCTTCCTTCTAAACTTTTTATGCATTTATCATCTCTTGTACGCGCAATACATCCGAGAATTACACTTCTTTAAAACCGAGTGTTTACTGGATGTATCACCCGTTGTAACACACTAAAAATACTTCAAGAATATTTGTGTGTGTTCCGTATGGTTCTCACAATAAACAGCGACTGTTTCCCTAAACAGCATTAACCGGCTGGGCTCTGTAGCGGAGACGTAATGTTTCCTGTGAGGTACGGACTGAATTTATATATATATGTATATATTAATTAGAATAAATTCAGTTTTAAAGGGTTACGTATATGTAGAAGAGATCTGCTGCATTCATTTTTATATTTCATTGATAACATGTGTCACAGTCATGAAGGAGAGAGGCAGGGAGAGTCACTGCTCTCACAATTCTCTCATAATGCTGTGCCCCAAGTGTTTATAATTCGCGATGTGAGTGTAATAACACGATCATTATGAGGTTTTACAATCTGATTATTACTTTGGGGTAGAGGCCTGTTGCTTCGTGCCTGTTACGTGGTAGAAATGGTGAACGCTTAATAGTGGAAATTAGTGTAGAGGGTTAAAGTAAGAAGGGGAGGGGGGATTATGCAGTTAATAGCTGATTGAGGCAGTCGATTGCAATGTGTACTGGAGGCTGTTGCATTGGTTGTCGGTAGTTGCGTCTGTTGCATTTGAGAGTAGCGCTAGATGTCCGTAACTCGACGTTTTGTGGTAAATAGAGTTGTTTTAAAATAGTTTAAAATGAGATAAGTACGTAATGAAATTGTCCTTATTTAAAGGTTAAAAAATAAAATAAGATTCAGACTATGTCTCTGAGCACAATAATTTCAAATTCTAAAGAGGTCTGACGATAGTGTATTGCTCGTACATTCGGGATTGTCAAGTTTTTTTTTTTAACTTTTTGTATCATTCTATATTCTAAAGAACACAATTTTTTGTGGAACTTTGCCCTCTGCAAAGAGCTAACGTACCCGGCATAGCAGTTGCCTCTCATCCAATCACCTGATGAAGGAAACGGATGTAGTTTCGGAATACAAAATGGCGGGCAAGCACCACAATCGGAAATGCTGCCAACTCAAAACAACGTACTGTACACAGTTGCATACGTTTCTGCAGAGACATTCAGAGTTGTTTTCTTTCCCCTCCTGAAAGTGGTATTCAATGACAACCCACTTTTCCGTTACCCTGCAGATGCACTTAAACGGTATGACATTGAGAAAGTTCATCCAGTCTGTAAACCGAGTTACGTCATGGCTTGTGCAAGCAACCTTAGGTAGAGAAGGTAAAACTATCCCTGTAACTGGCCGTCGAGGCCAAGAGGGTTGTGAGACGTCGAGGCTGCCACATTTTCTATACAATCGGTTTAACGATGGCGGTGATGTTGTTAGTCTTAGGCTCTGGCCGCCCTTTACCCCCCAGGAAGATTCCTGGTAGTCATTGGTCGAGCTATATCTTCACTTCCCCCATTTGTTCTCATGGCGTGATGCTTAATTAAATAAGAACGATAAATTTAGGTCCCAGATATTACAATTTTGCCGTAGTTTCAAAGGATTTGTTAGATAGAAATTTAATTAAAATATTTCTTGTGATCTCCGTTCTGGTTACGCAAGATAGCGGACGCCATGTTTGGCCTTGTCAGCATTAAGCATTAATTGTGACATATCATGAAGAGACTCGTTTGCGAAACAGACAACGAAACAACGTCCGCTGCTGGGCAACAGTTCCTTAATAAGCAAATATACGCAGCTGTTACTGAGAAACGCCTTCGATAGAAACATGTCCCCACGGAAAACGAATCCATACGCAGCAATAGAGGAACTGTTGGAAACGGTGATTTCTACGCAGTCCGTGCCGAGATGTTATAAGGAGGACAGTTGTAGCAGTTAGTCATTATGTAACGAGAAGACTAGGATACTGGTGTGAGATGGTCGCCAAAATGGCAGTTAGTCAGTTTTGGAGTAATAGCCAGCGGGCAACACAAAATCTGAAGAATCTCCATTGTTAAGATCCGTTACTAGGAAACGACTAGTGAAAGACTGAGAAGACTTAGCGTGTGTTCTAGTGTGGACATTTATGATGGCGCCATAATTCCTTATGGTTAGGATCTGTAAGATCTGTAGGAGCCCTCCAGTGGTCCCTATCCACAGCCATATCTATCCAATCCATTTTATCGCTTTAAGATCCGTTTTAGTTTTATCTTCCCACATATATCTTGGTCTTTTTTTTTATTGCTAGTGGGGTGGGACTGAGTCCATTGTACTGCGGCCACTTCTGGCCTATTGTACCAGCCCCAAATGATTGGTGAGGGTGATTGTGGAGCAATTGGTGGAATGAAGATTTGCAGGGGAAACCGAAGTACTCGGAGAAACCCCGCCCCAGCGCCACTTTGTCCACCACAAATCCCACTTGACCAGACCCAGGATCGAACCCGGGCTGCTGCGGTGGGAAGCCAGCAGCTATCCGCTTGTTATGGCGTGGGCCCTTATTGATAGGAAAATCCATGTCACAGTTGGTATAGCGACTGGCTACGGGGATGGACGGCCTATGTATCGGAGTTCGACTCCCTGTAGGGGCAAGATTTTCCCCTCGCCACATCGTCCAGACCGGTTGCGGGTCCCCCCCATCCTCCAATGGGTAACGGGATAGAGCGGCCGTGACGTGAGGCTGACCACTCCAACTATTACTGTGGTCAAGAATACGCGCATCTATACCTCAACTCCGCCATACGTCATCTTGGTGTCGCGCTTAATTAGTTGAGAACAGGGACAACTTTAACTGTTAGTATAAAACAGCAGGTTTGTATTTCGTTGTGTTGACCGCGGGTTTCTTACAGCAGATAATCTGATCTTCCAGCGCGTGGTGGAAACATTTTGTGCTGAATATTCTGTTATCCGTGGAAGAAGTTCAGTCGTTGTCCGGTAGATGTCCTTGTGAGGAAATAGTTTTGTCTTCTGTGCGTCTGTGTGAAGAATTTTGTGCGTTGTGTTCTTGACATTCAAATGAAATTCTTATGAATGAAGAAATGAGAGCGTAACTTCGTAAAATGGCGAATCTCGAACACTGTACTTTAATAAACTCTATCGTGGAAGTGGAAGTTAGATGACCAGTGGCGCTGGAGCGCTGATTGCCGGACACAGTTCGAACCACAGGACAGACGCGGCTTGAACCGGAATGGAATCCTCCGGTACAAACAAGGACACGTCTGCCAGCCCTGCAAGGTAGGTGTTGACGTCACTGTTGTACTGTTTGTCATGATCTATTTTTTTATTTCCGTCCGTTTCTCTGTTTTAGAAGCATTGTCTGTGCATAGCCCAGTGCCATTCTCGTGTTCCAGGCTTGGCTTCAAACAGTGAAAAGTCTTGAGGATATTTACATGGTCGTCATGGCTCAGTGCTGTTTCTGTATCTCATTGCTACTCACGTTTTACTCACAGATGATTGAGGGGTGACAGTCCATAAACTAGACACCGGAGTATAGATTCATCCCTGGATGATAATTTTTAATTCAGTGACATTTAAATTGCGTTTTATAACTAATTCAGTTTTAAATCACAAACATGCTTCTGTTTAACTCGAATCTGCTTCATATGCGGAAGATCTCTGGTTCCAGTCTCGACCCTTCCACCGCTAATCTCGACTTAGATTTCACATGGTTTTCCTCAGCCTCTATAGGTAAATACCTTTGCACTGACCACGCGACACCCTCTATACGCAAAAGTTGGCACTGACTTCGCCGACAAGCGGCATTCGCTCGGTCGGTATAGTTCGCTTGTGGACTAAAAGACACGGAGATTTTTTACTGGATAGTACTTAGGAGTAGGCCACGACCGCTGTCTTCCATATATTCTCCAATTCATCATCCGTTAATCATCCTACCATTTCGAGTTTATTGATTTGCGATAGCTCAGTCGGTATAGCGACGGGCTACGCGCTGGAAGGCCGGGTTTCGATTCTCGGTAAGGTCAAGATCGCTGTCTTTTAGACACCGTCCAGGCCGGCTCTGGGCCTCACCCGGCCTCCTACACAGTGGCTGTCGATGGCTCTTTCTCCAGTGTTAAAGCGGCCGGGTCGTGAAGCTGACCACTGATCTCCATCTAGTGCTGAGGCCAAGAATGTTGGAGCTATACAGCCACTCCCCCATACGTCACGATTAATTAGTTAAGCAGAGGGACCTCACCATTCGACGTCATTTAGTCTGAGCTTTTGGCATAAAAGTGAAGCAGTTCATTAGAGTGTCGCCTGTTGGAAATAGCGTGCAAATATTCAGAGGATAATTGCACGCCGCTTTGCTTGTACAGCGCAAGTCAGGAACAATATTATAGCCCGTATTTTGCACCTTAGTATCACCATCTGGCGACTTCGTGTGGGTCAGCGCACGAGCGCGAGACGATGTGAGAGCACTTCATGCTTCCAGATAGCATCTGTCGTTATGGTCGATATCACGAGTTCACGTGGCTTTACCCTTCGTCTTGTTGCCCGCTATAGCGCCTATTAGAAGTATTAAATGTTGAGATTTTACTATTAAGGTACTGTGTTGTAGGATATGGCGCCGTGTAGATTGGTAGATAGGTACTAACGTTTCTGGAGCTTGCTGTCTCGGTCTTCTGTCCTGAAGATGTGAAATTTGAGGTTCTAGTGGGTGTATCTAGGATATAACGCCGTGTATTCCGTTGATAGTTAACCGACGTTTCGAAGGAACATGAAAGTAAACATGTTCCTCCGAAACGTCGGTTGACTTTCAATGGACTATACGGCGTTATATCACAAAAGACAGAACTCTTCGTAATCACCGCTGTGAGAATATCAAATCCTGCATACGAATGTACCATATTCAGAGATGTGACGCCGTGTAGTTTGGCAGTTGG